AATTGCCATGGTCAACTCGCCATGATGAAATTGCCATGGTCAGCTCGCCATGACCAACTTGCCATGGTCAACTTGCCATGATCAACTCACCACAGCCAACTTGCTGAGGCCGACTCGCCATGGCCAATTTGCCATGGTCAATTTGCCATGGTCAACTCACCACGGCCAACTTGCTGAGGCCGACTCGCCATGGCCAGTTTGCCATGGTCAACTCACCATGACCAACTCGCCATAGTCAACTCACCATGGCCAAATCACCATGGTCAACTCGCCATGATGAAATTGCCATGGTCAACTCGCCATGGTCAACTCGCCATGGTCAACTCGCCATGGTCAACTCTCCATGGCCAACTCTCCATGGCCAACTCTCCATGGTCAACTCTCCATGGCCAACTCGCCATGGTCAACTCGCCATAACCAACTCACCATGGTAAACTCGCCATGACCAATTCAAGCAGGAGACCATCTCAGACAAATGGTTGTCCAATCTCTTCTTAAAAACTTCCAGGGTTAGAGTACCCACAACTTCTGGTGGCAAGCTGTTCCACTGGTTAATTGTTCCAAATGTCAGGAAACTTAGTTCCAGGTTGCTTCTCTCCTTGATTAGTTTCCATCTGTTGCTTCTTCTCCTGCCTTCAGGTGCTTTGGAGAATAGCTGGACTCCCTCTTCTTTGGGGCAGCCCCTGAGATACTGGAATGCTGCTATCCTGTCCCCCCTCGTCCTTCTCTTCATTAAACTAGACATACCCAATTCCAGCAACCGTTCCTTATATGTTTTAGCCTCCAGTCCCCTAATCATCTTTGTTGCTCTTCTCTGTACTCTTTCTAGAGTCTCAGCATCGTTTTTACATGGTGGTGACCAAAACTGGATGCAGTATTCCAAGTGTGGCCTTACCAAGGCCCTGTAAAGTGGTATTAACACTTCACGTGATCTTGAGTCTATCCCTCTGTTAATGCAGCCTAGGATTATTTAACAATGTTTGAGTTATTGATCATTAAGGATATTTTGAACATCAGAGTGGCTGGAAGAGGACAAATATTATTGCTACATGACAATGGTGTTTTGTTTTTTATTGGTAATGACTAATCTGTACCAAAATGTGTGGACATTGTTTAATACTTTGATAATTTTTTCAGATTATTCCATTCATTGGAATGTCAAATCTACTCGTTTTAAGGTTTCAGAGGATATTCCTAAAAGTGGGTCATACGCTTGGCATAGATTCCTTTAATTATCGTAACGTGATTGGTAGAGGTTAACGCTTCTAATGTTCTGATTGAGAACGTTATAAGTAGATGGTTTAAAACCCTGAATGAATCTCCGGGGTTGAATAAATAAAAATCGTAAACACGCCTAGAATCCCAGCTCTTTCAATCTTTGTGGGAAAATGCTCAGCGGTTTTATTTCTGAATTATTACGGCCAAGATCGTAAAGTACTTACTCATTTTCTTGCGGTAAGAAACGTGACACTCGTGATGGGAACCGTCAGAAATGCGTTTGTTCATATTTTTGAGAGAACCCACAGGCGCTTTTTCAAAAGGCAACTGGACTTTCTTGTTTTTCCTGGAAGACTTTTCGCTTCTCTTCCCAGAAGCTTCTTCAGCTCTGACTGGATGGTGGGGAAGGGAAGGATTTATACTCCTTGCAGACAGCTGGTCATTTGCCTCCTTTTAGACAGTCATTGAGGCCACTTGGAGCTTTGTCTGTGTCCTCAATGGTGCTTTTTCAACTGGACTTTCTTGCTTTTCTTTGAAGACCTTTCACTTCTCATCCCAGAAGCTTCTTCAGCTCTGTCTGGATGGTGGGGAAGGGAAGGATTTATACTCCTTGCAGACAGCTTTTAGAGAGTCGTTGAGGCCACTTGGAGGTTTATTTGTGCCCTGAATGGTGCAAATGGGTGTGGAACCTTCTTGGAACTGCTGAAAGGACCGTGTTGTAAACAGGAGAGGTGGTGTCGTGTCCCTCCCCCTCTGTTGAGAGAGGGCTGTTCAGTCTTAATGTAGATTTAGTGTAATGTAGGATTCAGATAAACCTCCAAGTGGCCTCAAGGAGTCTCAGAGAGAGCGCTGATAACCAGATGACTGCAAGGAATATAAATCCTTCCATCCTCCACCATTCAGTCAGAACTAAAGAAGCTTCATGGAGGAGAAGCAAAATGTCTTCAAGGAAAAACAATCTCCAGTTGCCTTTTGAAAGAAAGCACCTTGGGGACAGACATGACCTGGATGGCTGAGAATCTCCGTAGTTATTTTGGGAGATAGTTTAGCTGAAATCTCTTTGGCCAGGGTAGAACCTGGGCCAGGGGTAGGCAACCTTGGCTCTTTTATGACTCGTGGACTTCAACTCCCAGAATTCCTGAGCCAGCCACGCTGAGGGGAAAGGGAGAGGTTTCCATGCTGAGCCGTACTGGCTCAGAAATTCTGGGAGTTGAAGTCCACCAGTCATAAAAGAGCCACGGTTGCCCACTCCTGACCTAGAGGAACATATGAAAGCATAATTAATGTTAATTAATGTAGACTTTATTAGTTTATAGCAGAGGTAGGCAACCTTGGCTCTTTTATGACTCGTGGACTTCAACTCCCAGAATTCCTGAGCCAGCATGGCTCAGCTTGGAAACCTCTCCCTTTCCCCTCAGCGTGGCTGGCTCAGGAATTCTGGGAGTTGAAGTCCACGAGTCATTAAAGGGCCAAGTTTAAAGACCCCTCAGTTAGAGGAACATATGAAAGCATAATTAATGTTAATTAATGTAGACTTTATTAGTTTAGAGCAAGGGTAGGCAACCTTGGCTCTTTTATGACTTGTGGACTTCAACTCCCAGAATTCCTGAGCCAGCATGGCTCAGCATGGAAACCTCTCCCTTTCCCCTCAGCATGGCTGCCTCAGGAATTCTGGGAGTTGACGTCCACCAGTCATAAAAGAGCCAAGGTTGCCTACCCCTGACCTAGGCATTTGAACTCTATTCAGTTAATATGTTGGTGGGGGCAGTAATTTCCCAGCCACTGGAAGACCATCATAGGTCTTCTCCAGGTTTCTTCGTGGGAGAAACAATAGCTTTAAGCAGTGGTGGGATTCAAATATGTGAACAACCGGTTCTCTGCGTGGATGCCACTTCCGGAAGTCCATTCTGGGCCTGGGCAACAAAAAATTAGCTGCCGGTTCTGCCGAAGTGGCGCGAACTGACTGAATCCCACCACTGGCCTTAGGGTCGCCCGTGTAACACCCCTGTCACACAACTTGCAGTGGTGGGATTCAACTATGTGAACAACCGGTTCTCTGCGTGGATGCCACTTCCGGAAGTCCATTCTGGGTCTGGGCAACAAAAAATTAGCTGCCGGTTCTGCCGAAGTGGTGCGAACCGGCTGAATCCCACCACTGGCTTTAAGATCCATTATGAGCGAGTAGAGTCAACCAAGCCCTGTGACCACCGTTCCAGCGTAATAGTAGAAGAGGTGTGTGGGGAAACTCGGCCTACACTTTGGAAGCCTTTGAAACAGACCTTGGATAAGGTTCTTTCCTTTCACCGCTTCTTGGCAAGGAAGCTACAGGATGCCGCAGCTGTTTTAGTTCTGTGATCCGTGTCTATCTTGTACATTGGCATGTTGAGTGTTCTCTACCGTGTGTTTATTGCAGCAAACGCATTGCCCAAGGCAAGGTGCGACTCTCTTTAAAAGGGGTGTGGGTGTGTTTTGTCGGGGGAAAGTGGCCGACAAAACAAACAGGCAAGATTTGGGGTGTTGTGTTGTGCAGTAACTGCAGAGTCACTCTGGCTAGCAACTGGTTGAGGCTACACGCTTGAGATATTTGAGGTGTCCGGATGTGAATACAGAAAGGGATGAGAAAGGTGAAGCTGGAGGACAAGAGAGCCATTATCTTCTCCTGGATCGTGTCCCTGGGAAGCATGAAGATCCCTTCCCAGCCTAGCCATGGGTGCTGGAATAATCAGGAAGGAGGGAGGCATCCAGACACTAGCCTTTTCCAGAGGTCCAGGGTCACCTGGTTAGGGTTAGGGTTGGGGTTGGGGTTGGGATTGGAGTTAGGATTGGGGTTAGGGTTGGGGTTGGGATTAGGGTTAGGGTTAGGGTTGGGGTTAGGGTTAGGATTGGGGTTAGGATTAGGGTTAGGGTTAGGGTTAGGGTTAGGGTTAGGATTAGGGTTAGGGTTGGGATTAGGGTTAGGGTTGGGGTTGGGATTGGGTTTAGGGTTAGGGTTAGGGTTAAAGTTGTGGTTGGGGTTGGTTTGGGATTGGGGTTAGGATTGGGGTTAGGGTTGGGGTTGGGATTAGGATTAGGGTTAGGGTTAGGGTTAGTGTTAGGATTGGGATTGGGATTAGGATTGGTGTTAGGGTTAACGTTGTTGTGGTTGGGTTGGGATTGGGGTTAGGATTGGGATTAGGGTTGGGGTTGGGGTTATTGTTAGGGTTGGGATTAGGGTTAGGGTTGGGATTGGGATTGGGGTTAGGGTTGGGGTTGGGATTAGGGTTAGGATTGGGATTAGGGTTAGGATTGGGATTAGGGTTAGGGTTAGGGTTAGGGTTAGGGTTAGGATTGGGATTGGGGTTAAGGTTGGGGTTAGGGTTAGGATTGGGGTCAGGGTTAGGGTTAGGGGTTAGAGTTAGGTCTGTTGCCTACTTCAACGGAGCAAAACAGTTCAGTTCTGCAGTGGAGAGCCATTTAGATACTTGATCGCTGGCTCTCCGAAGAGTTATGAAGCAGATCCTGGGCAGGAAATGGTCCTTCCCTCTTTTCCTCCCTTCCTCCAACCCTACACAGTGGATACAGAGATACGGCCATCCGGTCCTGGTCCCTGATCCCTGGAGCCGTGGAGGTGGAGTAGCTTTTCCACATCCTTTCTACCAGAGAGAGGAGAGCGCCATATCCTTGGTTGGAGGGAGGTGGCCCCATTTGATGTGCCTGCACCATGAAAGGTCCTGATTTGGAGCCCTGGAAATTGAGGTCCTCTCTTTCTCCACAGGAGTGGCATAGCATGGGCGGTGGCAGCCATGCACGCGTCCTTCCACTGCCATGCCAATGAGTCTCCACCCCCTGCGGAAGAGAGCACTTCTGGAGGTGAGTGGGAAGCAGTC